GCTCCTTCCACTCAGTGGGCTCCGGCCTGCTTCACGCCCCTGCCTCGCCTGTCCCACCATTGGCAGGCGGACCTTCAGCCACTCTGCCCCCACCCTCTGGAACTACATCCCACAGTCCATCCACCTCGCCCCCTCCCTTGCCTCCTTAAAGATCCATCTCAAGTCCCTCCTCTTCAACTGTGACTTCGATCACTCTCCTTCCGCTCGCCGCCCTCCATCCTCCCTGATCGTGATCCCCAGCTCGGGTCTTAAACACTGATTGTGCAGCGCCTTGGAACGTCCTCCCGACGTGAAAGGCGTTATAAAATTGTAATTTTGTGCTGGTGTTGAAATCAGTAAATAAAGTCCATTAAGTGACAAGGGGATAATCAAGTCAAGGTGCATAGTTATGGGTTTACCCGAGGATATTTCTTCCAAACTTCATTTTTACATGTAAACAATTTACTGTTTTGATGCAGACAAATTAAATTTTAAAATGGTCAATCTTCGCTAATCCTAGAGTTTCTTCCACTCGTGTCTGAAGTTTTACTGAGGTTTCATTTCTCAGTTCCTGTCCTGAGAATTCCATTAAAAGCTGCAGTTCAAATTGCATTTTAAATACCTTAAACTACCTTGGAAAGCTGCAAATGAATGAAAGATGTTCAACTGTACACAGTGATGCATAACATTTGGGTATTGTCTGTGCATGCTTAGGGGAAGCAACAAGCAAATATTAATGTTCTTTGGAAGGCCACCAAGAGGTAATTGTTTTGCAATTCATCTGCTTGAATTATGTAACGTGTTGATGTATAGAACACAAACTAGTATGGAGCATAAAATCTCGTATCAGGGCCACATTATAGCGTATGTATTCTTTTAACAAATCCAATTGAAACACACAACAACTTGCCTATCATCTGTGATAGCCACCTGTTGAATTAGAGAGGTGATCTTTACAGTTTGGTTCTTGCTACCAATGTCTTTCTAGTATCCCACTGTGCTAAAGATCCTCCGAAGACTGCAAACAGGAAATACTTTGCCCAGGACACAAGGACATAATCTTAAAATCAAAATTAAGCTGATGAAAGGGGAGTCGGAAAAATAGGTATTTGCAAATTATGTTGTGATATTATGGAATGAACTGCCTCAGAAGGCTATACAATACAAAATTATATTTGTATAGAGCCTTTCACGTCGGGAGGACGTCCCAAGGCGCTTTGATACAGCACCTATAACATCAAAACATCGAAGGTCTTCATAGCTAATACTGTAAAGTGAAATGACTATGTATTTGTAGAAAAACAACAGCCAATTTGGTAGAGCAATGCCTCACAAAAAGCCATGAAGTGAATGGCCAATTTATCTGGGCTATTGCTGGCCAGGACACCGGGCGAAATCCCCTTCTCTTTCCAAATGGTGTCATGAATCTTTATCATGCCAAGAACAGGTAAAAAGTTTAACATCTAGCCCAAAGGACAGCACCTCCAACAGTACAGAGCTCCATTAACACTGCATTATCTAAGAGGATGAGTCATTGAAAAAATGGGCCAAGCCACTACAACCTCTTGATCTTCTGATATAGAGGCTGGAGTGCTGCCAACTGAGCCAGCTCACACCTCAGCAGTTAAGTGGAATAGCCTCCTCCATCCTTATGTACAATGAAATACAAACAACTGCCATGCATCCTGCCCTGCAGAATATTTACATTTATTTTCCAGACAGGATTCAATAATATTTTACCAATTACTGAAATGTTTACAAATAATTCTTCTGTCTGACAATATCATTACTCTACATCAACAGTAGTATCAGACATTCTCAAAACAGTCTAACTTTTGTATTGAAATGAACGATACTGCTTTTAGTATAGACAACCAAAATAACTTAGTATAATTTAGTATATTTTAGGTTGATTTGACAAATGGGAAACCTAAACCTTGAGATATCAGGAACGATTGTCAATTTGCTTTCTTTTAGCAAAACCACAATAAGTAAGTTTAAAAATATATATTTTCCACCATCCCAACATAGTTTCCCTTCGTAACAAAAATACATATTGGCAGAGTGAGTCATGGAGAATCAAGGATCAGGCCTGCAATTATACTGATCTTGCCAATCATTAGGGGGAAGACATCAAATAGAGGTTGACTACATCTTTATGGATTGGGTTGTGTGGGGTGGGGAGGATAACATTTACGACAAGCATCTGCAGATGGGAGCAGATAACCATGTTACCTGGAGGAGTGAAACTATATCTAATAAATCAGGAAACAATTTGGAAAAACTAATTGCTTGCTTTGTGTTTTTTTCTAAATCTGAAACTCATGTCACTGCTGCAGAGAATTCAGATCTTTGTTTCCTTACTATTTCTGTACATTTCTGGTTTGTTCCATTTAGGGAGATGAACTAGCTGAACGTAGTTGCTAAATTAAACATTAGAATGCACAATATCAGGATTAAGCCAGAGTGCTTCAGCAAGCCAGTCACTCGGATCCCTTCCATCAATGGTGACGTCATCAATGCCTACTATTAAAAACATTTCAATAAATCAAAAGACCAGCAAATATAACATTGAATGATAGGCTGAGTGAGATTTTAATAAAGGGAATCCAGATGGCAAGACTTCGGGAGCAAGCCTGATTGCCCAATATGAACTTTACTGCTTCGCTGTGGAAGGGGTTTTGCCAATGCAAGCGCACTGAAGCTCCTGAGTCACAGGTGCAGACCACAATTATCTAAAAACTAATTATTCAGCCTTCATGAGATCTCACCAGCAAATTGAAGTGAAATTCATGAGCTAAATTAGTGCACAAGAAATAATGCTAAAATTGCATAGTAACAACATCAAACCAGAAATTGGATGATCCATCCAGCATCCAATTTCCCACAAGATTCTTTCAATGCCTCCAACTCTTAAAGTCTCATGACAGTGGATCATTTTAGTTGACAGGAACCCTTCTAGTTCCATTTGGTGAAAACCTTGCAGTATCTTGTTCCACCAACTGTGCCAATAAAATGTGCTACATCCTTATAACACTTTTCCTGAAAAGTTCTCCTTTCTGGAATCCTTATTTTAAATTCTTTGCTCAATAATCACAGGAGACAAACTTGACGTTCAATGAGACGCCTTCGCTCTGGCCGAATAGGCCAAAAGTTACTATTTAGGCCGACAGGATAAATAAGCACTTGAGCAACTGCACAACAACTCCTTAAGAAGGGGGGGGGGGGGAGTTCCAAACAAGTTAAGGTATCCAGGCAAGATTAATTTGAGGAGTTTAATTTCTGAGACTGGGCAGTTATGAAAAACTCTGACCAATTGGTAGAAATGGTAATCAAAGGGCAAAAAAATTCAATTACAACTGAAATACACAATTTTGCATAAAAATGTCATATGGAGAGAAAAACCAAGCGCAAGGATTAGTTGAAGAGGCAAATTATGGGAGTCAGAAAGTCCTGAAAGAGAATACTTTTCACACACATCTTTAATTTAGCAAGGTACGATTTTGCTGGATGAAATAAATGAATTGTGTGGTGCAGTCCCATGTCGAGGCAAACATTTTGGAAAGAAAACAAAAATGTATTGAATTATTTTGGTTTGAGACAGGTTGGGGGTGGACAACTTATTTAAATAGACTGGTAATTTAGAGAACAATGTTGAATGAATTATATTCATTTACAAAGTTTCACCTTTGAACTAAAGTAATAACTGAAGGCACTTTAGAAGAATAAAGAAACATCTGGTTTGACTTCATTTTAGCCACCTGACCATAGGACAGTGGTTTTCAACTCCACAGTTGAAACTTATGAACCGAGTTAAACAGCATATACAGTATATAGCACTATTTGGATTTAGCAGCAACTGAACAAACCATAGAAAAATCTTCACGATTTTCATTGAAAATGGATGTCTTCAATCTACCAAGCAGTAACAATTATGAGATTACATCTTGGTCAACTTTCTTTAGGGCACTATAATGGACAATTTAATAAACTGTTAACATAAATGGAATAATTTTATGCTGATCTCACTCTTATCGCAGGCATATCCGCACTGCTCGTTCCTATCATTTAAAGCACACTGAATACACAAACCGAGGTGCTTAAGTGATTTTTGTTAAAAGTAGCAGTTTACTTCAAACAAAATGGAATTTCTAACCACCAATTAGATATTCGGGTCATTAAACAATGATTTCAACTAAACAGCATGTTTCAGTAATCCTGAAACATTACCTTTTTTTAAAAAAAATAAAAATTAACCACCCTAATATTCACGTGATTTGGGGCATTCAGGCTTCCTACCGTAATATAAATACAAATCCTGTAAAGTGCCAGGGATACTTGCAGTACAATTGTTTACACTATAAAACTGCATAACAAGAAACATTGCAATCAGTAAAGTGGAGATGGGGGAAGGGGAAGTGGTTGCTTAAGAGAAAAGACATGACAACAGGGCATGTCAGCTACATTGTACAACCCCCAGCCAATGCTGTACCGACACTTAAAACTCAAAAGGTGTGATACCGGTGACAAGTGTCATCGCCAACTACACCTGCAAGATACATTTGCACGTCCAATATATAAAACCAATGAAACATTACACTTGAACTGAAAAATAACAACGTCCAGCAAATCTCAAGGACCACCGTCGTCGCTGATGAATTTAATATTCAAATAGCAGGTGAAAGATACCAGTCAAAATGCAACCACTATGTCCAATAGTGACGGTACAAACCAAGACAACACCTGTGCTGCACATTTTGATACTGTAGCAAACGTTAAAGATGTAGGTTAAAAAAAAAACATCGATGTGTTATCCAGAAAGAGTACATCATGGGGTGGGGGGGTCATGGGGTGGGGGGGGAGAGAAACGGCACATCTGCCTCCAGCATCAAACACTCCCAAATGCGAAAACATACAATCGACAGCCTGCAATATACATATAGATATATATATATAGATGTGTGTGTGTGTGTTCTTATGCTTTAAAATCACCTCTGTGCAAAAATGACAAAAAAGGATACAGTCGGAGTGATCCAGATAGGGTTCCAACAGCCAGGATTTTCTGCACCGGATCAAAAGCCATGGCTGAAGGTTGATATGGGAATCCATGACGGACCGTCTGACACCACGAACACCAGCAGCAAACGCGGGGCACAGGGCGGAAAGAAGCAGCGGATTAGGAACGAGTCCTGGGGCCGAGGGGGCGCACAGCGAGCCGCCACCTCTGCAGCAGCAGCGGGGGCCGGGGCCGGGGGCCGGGGTGGGGGCAGCTCAGGCTCGGCGGTCAGGGTCAAGCCCTCTCCCTCCCTCCCTCCCTCCCGCTGCCCGCAGGGGAACCTCTTTCGCCCCGGGAGGTGACGGTGCAAACGCCGCAAGCCCCTGGGGGTGGGGGGGTGGGGGGGTGCGGTGCTCTGCTCTGGCTCCTCAGTGGGGGCCCCGGGGCTCACCTTACACAGCTGGAAATGCTCCGAGTTGAGGGTCTCGACAATATCGCTCTCGGCCGACCTGCTGCCGGGCTGCGAGGAGGACGACGACGAGGAGGAGGCCGCGGTCAGGCCGTCCAGCACCTTCCTGATGTTAAACTTCTTCATCCTCCGGCTCTCGCCTCTCGCCGCTCGCTGGGTGGGTGTCGCACGCCGGGCCGAGCCGAGCCGAGCCGAGCCGGGCCTGCTACCTGCCGACCTGCCGCGCTGTCACATGTCAGAGAGCGCGGCGGGCGGGCTCCATGGGCGGCCGGGAGGGAGGGAGGAGAGAGGGAGAGGGGCCGCGGGGGGGGGGGGGGGGGGTGGGAGCTGCGTTCAGGGTCGGGATGAGCTGGTCTCGGGACTGAGGTGCTGTGGGGCCGGGTCTCTGGGCTGGCGGGGGCCGGGTGGCTGGCGGGTGGTGGGGCCGGGCTGGTGGCGGGGGCCGGGCTGGTGGGGGCCGGGTGGTGGGCTGGTGGTGGTGGTGGGCTGGCGGGGGCTGGGCTGGTACTGGTGGGCCGGGGCTGGTGGGGCCGGGTGGTGGCGGTGAGGGCTGGCGGGTGGCGGGGGCCGGGTGGTGGCGGGGGCCGGGTGGCGGTGGTGAGGGCTGGCGGGGGCCGGGTGGCGGGGGCCGGGTGGTGGCGGGGGCCGGGTGGCGGTGGTGAGGGCTGGCGGGGGCCGGGTGGCGGGGGCCGGGTGGCGGGGGCCGGGTGGCGGGGCCGGTGTGGTGGTGAGGGCTGGCGGGGCCGGGTGGCGGGGGGCCGGGTGGTGGTGGTGAGGGCTGGGGGGGGCCGGGGGCCGGGCGGTGGTGGTGAGGGCTGGCGGGGGCCGGGTGGCCGGGGGCCGGGTGGTGGTGGTGAGGGCTGGCGGCGGGGGCCGGGTGGCGGGGGGGGCCGGGTGGCGGTGAGGGCTGGCGGGGGCCGGGTGGCGGGGGCCGGGTGGCGGGGGGGCCGGGTGGTGGCGGTGGCGGTGGTGAGGGCTGTGGGGGGGAACCGGGGGTCGGGACACTCTCTACAGACGCGGAAACGCAGCCTGGAGCCGAGCCGCAGCACCGCGCATGCTCTCTCGCTCCGTCTGCCTCTTACACACCCGGATGTGGATGCCTTGGTGCACCTGACACATCCAAACCAACACCTCTCACAGCGCCACACAACACACAGTCACTACACTTCGCGGCCAGAGTCCTGCCAAACGCCGGCCACGAGGCGTCACTTTTAAGCTCAACCGCTCGCAAAGCCGCCCCCCCCCCCACCCTCCCCACCGCCGTGAAGAGCGCTACGTCAATGCAATAACAATCCTTGTATTCAATTTAGCGCCTTAATCCCGTCTTCGAGACGTCTCAAAGCGCTTCACCGAATATACTGTAAAGGGTATATTTGTGGGCAAATTGCGGCAGCAGATTGGGCACAGCGGTGCCCCAGACACAATCGTGGATTGAATGACCAATTTTTTTTAAAGGGATTGTTAACCCGGAAAAGCCATAAGCAGATAAGATAATTCAGATAAGACGATCGCAATTGTATTGACATAAAGGGACAATTTCAAGATTGAAGGCCGTGGGCTGGTAGTGGCCCAAGAGGCCGTGAAGAAGTAGCCCCGAACATTCGCATGAATCCAGATAAGTCCGTGTTCGTTCGTTAGTGTATTTTCAGGTTTTTCTTGATTGCATAAATCAAGAAATATTCAATCAAGCAATTTTATTTTGTTGACCAACCATAAAGGTTGGCCACCACTAGTCTAGGTGGTAGGAATCTAAGAGGAGTGGAGGAGCAAAGAAATCCGGCGATTTAAATCCACAAATCTCTAAAAGTAGCTACACAGGTAGGTAAGCCTACAAAATAGGCTAATAAGCTATTGAACTTAAATCCAGAGGGATAGATTATAAAAGTAATTACTGAGACGTCTATTTTGAATTTATACAAAACTTTGGTTGGACCACATTTGAAATAGTGTGTCCAGTTCTGGTCTGCGCACTAAAGGAAGGTTATAGCGGTGATGGAATGAGTACAGCATAGGCTTATGAGGATGATATCAGGGCTTGTAGGTTACTGTTATTAGGATAGACTGGATAGGTTGGGCCTTTTTTCACAAGAGAAGAGACATTTAAGGGGGTATTAAATAGAAGTATTTAAAATTCTAAAAGGGTTCAATAGGCTGTTTCCACTGGTTGGGAAGTCCATAGGTATAATAGTGTCTTGGGGATCAAAAAGCGAATTTAGGAAGAGCTACTTCATGCAGAGAATGTGGAACTTGTGGCCTGAAGTGGTGGTTGAATCACATTGCTCAGTGGTTAGAGCGCTTGCCTTCCGAACGAGAGACCTGGGTTTGATTCCCAGGAGGGTGAAATCTTGGCCAAGTTTCCTTACTCCACACGCCTTTGTTTACCTAGCAGTAAGTAGGAACCCGGTTGTTAGTCAATTAGTGGATCACTTTTCCATGGGTAATAAATCCTTCCAAAAAAATAAATAATAATCATAATAAATTGGTCACTCAATCCATGACTGTTTGTGGGACACTGCTGTGCGCAATTGGCTGTCGTGTTTTGCCCACAAAAAATATAGTCAATTCACTTTACAGTATATTCTGTGAATCACTTTGAGATGTCTCAGTGACATGATAAGGCACTGTATCAAATGCAAGGATTATTATTATTATTGTATAGAAGCATTCAAGAGGAAGCTGGACCTTCACATGAGGGAGAGGGGAATAGAAGGATATGAGAGAGAATAAAGGAATGGGTAGAGACTTCTGTGGGAGTATAAACACAGGCATAGACTGGTTGGACTAAGTAACCTGTTTCCCCACTTCCTTAGTAAATCTTTTATTTCCTCCATCGTAAAGCGTTCAGAGACTTTACTCTATGTGAAGGATGCTATATAAATACAAGTTATTGTTACCATGCTCCCATCATCCATTTCATATTCTTAATAACTAGTTTAAGTAAATAACATGCTTTTTATACCTGTGCTTGACAAATCCCAGAATCCCAGAAATATCCCTCAATTTATATATAATACATATACAAGATTTATTACTGATTTATGCTGCAAAGTAAAACTGAAAAATACATTCTGAAACATTTCTTTAAATAAGGCAAGTTGCAGAATTAATTCAGCATAATTCATTATGCAATCATTGTTTTAAGAATGCCATTCTTATAACCTTCCCTGAAATTATTTTTTGTGTGGTCTCACGTCATCCAGGGGTATATTTAGGTCAAAACACTACTCGACAAAATTGAACAGTGAACGACACTTTCCCACTGGGGCCAAACCTCCTTTGGTATTGTTTGCCAGTTATTATGTATTCAGCAGTTAATAAACCCGCCTGAGGCATGGAATAGGGTCTTGTGGACGTCAGGAAGTAAGTTTTGGATCCCGAGCACAACGTTTTCATTCCTCAAAGCACCAGTGCACAAAGCTAAAAGAGCCTATCTGTCCGTCATTCACAGTTGTTTTGTGTCATAACAATGTGTCCTGCCATGCATTAATGAGGTCCTTACTGGAGCAGTAAAGTCCAGGGGAAAGTACTTTTTGTTCCAAATATTTTCCTTAGCTAGAGAAGAATTTTTTTTTGCCTTCCCTAGGATCAGCTATCAGGTTGTTTCTCTAATGTACAAGATACTGAATGGAGAAGTTGCATGTGCGTCACAGTAACAGGGGCTTTGGAATGGCAGAGGAGACCTCTGAGTTGCCTATTCCTTGAAAAATGGCACTGTTTTACAGCCTAATTTCTAATGCCATGCTTTCTTGGGGGTAGATGAGCACCAAATCAATTTCAACATCAAAACATTAAACTAAATCAATCCACTCTGTGACTGGGTATCCTCCCTTTAGAATGTATCATCGGAGAAGCTTAGCAGCCAAGAAGGCGTACCCAGGACATGGAGGAAAAGTGAGGGTTCTTTTCTAAGGACCCATCTTTTTAGAAAGCTATTGAACTTTGAACAAATGATGCCTTCGCTAGATTTCACTTTACAGTGTGTTCTGTGAAGCGCTTTGGGACGTCCTCCCGACGTGAAAAGCGCTATATCAAATGCAAGGATTATTATTATTATTATTATTATTATTTTTAAACACAATGAAATGCTCAGCACAACAATCTTTGGAAACACTTCTTCAAATTGCATAATGCTAAAGGTCTGAAGTCTTTACAAGATAATCTGCAAATAGAATATTGAAAGTGTGAAATGAAGCATAAAGGTTTGTTGGCAATTTTGTTTGTGCTTCCTTGATAAATAATGGATCTAGTCTTACTTCCAGACAAATAGTGGTGCATGTTTGTCTCAGAGGGACAATGACAAATAATATTTGGTTCTCAGTTACCTCTGTAATTATTTTGATTGCAGTAAAGCATTATCTACAGTCTTCTGCAAGAACTCAAAATGCTTTTGAAGGAACTCACATGACCATACTAACAGTGCAGCAGCAGCTTTACTGAGCTTTGTTAAACCTACATTGAAATTAAGCCGCAATGGCCTCATCCAGTTTGGGATTGAATAATCACTATTATTTCAATAGACATCTGCATCTGATTTTCAAAGTACTTTGAATGGACTTATATTAATTTTAACTCAGGAGATCCCTGGAGAGTGCCTGGGCAATTAATGGGTAGAGGAGTGAAGTCACAACCCGGAAGATGGTAGAGATAAGAACAGTTTTTGGAAGAATTAAGCTTTTATATTATCACTTTAGCTCTGGAGTTAAGCCTTCCTCCAGAGGCAAAATGTAACAAAATATAAAAGTTGTCTATTTCTGCACCACAGAGCAGCCTGGACCCCAACGGATCAGCTTCAATTCAATGGTTGTTTAATACTGTATCTGGAGCACCAGCTGATCACCAGTTTAGCCATTTGATTGACAGGTGATTTATAGCTAGTATATTTTTATTGTGTTTTTTATGTTTTAATGGGCCCCAATACTGACAGGGTTTTGGGAACCTTGATACCTAGGGTTGGATTTCTGGGAATCCCAATATTGGGGGCTGTGTTTCCAGGATCCCCAAAACTGGAGGCATGGGTTCTTCCTATTCAGCTCCTGTTAACATTGCAAGCCACAGCACAAAAGGTTCAAGCTGGAATACATAGAGGGAAACTTGCCAGACAGTGCTTTCAATGGCAAACAAGGTGGTTTTATTTGGGTAAACTCAACCAGTAACCCATAGCACACACTGGGGTTCTC